CCCCCGTTGGTTCCCCCGCCCCCCCGCCTGACCCACAACCACTAGGACAGGCGGCCCCCCAACGACCCGCCTGACCCACGGTGACCACTACGGTCCCCCCCACAACCCGCCTGACCCATGACCACTAGGACACGGGGTCCCCCCGACAACCCTCCTGACCCACGGTGACCACTAGGATAGGCGGCCGCCCAACGACCCGCCTGACCCACGATGACCACTAGGACAGGAGGTCCCCCACAACGACCCACCTGACCCACGATGACAACTAGGACAGGGGGTCCCCGCAATGACCCACCTGACCCACGATGACCACTAGGACAGGAGGTCCTCCCCACGACCTGCCTGACCCACGACCACTAGGACAGGGGTCCCCCCACGACCCGCCTGACCCACGACCACTAGGACAGGGGGTCCTCCCGATGACCCGCCTGACCCACGACCACTAGGAATAGGTGACTCTTCCAATGACCCGCCTGACTCATGACTCTACTAGGATAGGTGACTGGAGGGCCAGGGCGGACGGAGTCTGGTCTCACGTTGGGTTTTAACTCTGCATCCAGGGTTTGGCCAATCTTCGAAAGCGGCCAGAGTTTACTGGACATCAGTGAGTGACCGGGAAGGTGAACACGCTAAAACACATGCCAATCTGGGCATGGTTACTCAGAGGGCACAGCCCCGGGGAGAGCTCCAGCCAGGAACATCAGGACCGAAGGGTGCACTCGGGAGCTGAGGAGTGGAGGTTCCATTCAGCACTTTCCGGCCCTGAGACCAGAGAGCCAGGGGAGGGACACAGCTGTGAGCCGGTGGCATGATGGTGGACACCTACAGGCCAACTCTTGGGAGGGGTGGACACTCAACAAGCTTGCGGGAGGAGATGCAGGAACAAGAGTTGAAAGTTCTACCCGTTCCCAGCAAGCAGACAGCAGCCCAAGCGGGGCCTGCATGCAGCAGCGGATGCCCTGCCTTCCTGCCTTCCAGGGGAGCCCAGCACGTCCTGTGGCGGTGCGTCCCCCCAGGTTTCGGTCCCTGCCCCCAGAGCAGGGCAAGAGGGCGCAGGGAACAAGGTCGGGCAGCAGGGGCCCAGCCTGGCCCTGAGCCTGCAGGGCCTTGTCAGAGGGAGAAGCGTGGAGGGCACGTGGGCGGCAGTAGGCGGACTGAGTTCAACCCCGGCCCTGTACCTGCCTGGCCAGCTGCACGGTCACTCAGGGCACCAGCCCCAGTCCTGACCTTGTCCCTGCCGGCCGGTGAGGCCTCGCTCCCGCCCGGTGCCTGGGGCCGCCTTCCCCACCACCCTTCCTGCCTGCCTCACCTCGGTCCTCCCTCCTCGGGGCAGCTTCTCTGCCCTGTGTTTTTCTAACAATCAACTTCACCCAAGGCCAGTTTTTATAAGCCTGGCTCAGTTCTTGTGGCTTCTGCTCCCATCTCTCCTGCTATGTGCTGTCCCTCGGCCCCACCTGCACTCACGGCCTGACTGGTGTCCTCCCCGTCTCTCCGGCACCTGCAGCCCACCTGGGCTTCTCTGGGCGGCTGCTGGGCCTTCTTCCACCCTCGCTAGAGCAGATTCTCCACCCCACGCCCTCCCGCCCATGTCTGCTGTGGCCATGGCCACCTCATTGCAGAGGGACAAGGCCAGCTGGCTTCCATGTCACCTGCGGACTGGCATGGTCCTGAATCCAGGCCCTGGCCTAGACCTCCATGGAGTGTCAGTACCCCTGGAGGTCTGGGGGTGTGGGCAGCCATGTCAGGGAAGTGTCCACTGCTGCCTCGCACCTCGGCCCACACCGGGCCAGGACTGAGAGGCAGCAGCCTGGGCCTCTGAGCCACTGCTCCCAGGGCTCAGGGTGGGAAGGAGGAATCTCTGCGAGAACAGAAAGGCCGGTGTGGGGTGTGGGTGGCCCAAGCTTGGGTCAGGGTCACTGGCTGGCAGAGCCAGGGGAG